GCTACCACCAATGAACGTCATGACAGGGAACACAACAGAGGGTCCCTGATGGAGCAGTAGAACACTGGGATGCAGAACTCAAATTCTAGTAAGAAGACCAGACTTAATGGTCTGACTAAGACTGGAGACACCCCAGAAAGCATGGCTCCTGGTCTCTCCATCACCCTAGAACTAAAACAATCTCCAAGGCCAACTCTTCAGACAGGGATTGGACAGGACTGTGGGACATAAAGTGATACTTGTGAAGAACGTGCCTCTTAGACAAGTAGATACACAAGACCAAAGGGGCGGCTTCTGTCCAGTGGTGAGATGGGAAGGCAGAGAAAGTTAGGAGCTGGTTGAATGTTCATGAGGAATCAGGGGTGGAGGGGAGGAGTGTGCGGTCACAGAATGGGGTGAGCGGTTGGGGTCTCACAACAATGTATGTTAAAAAAAAAAAAAATTCTGTATGGGATACCAGAAATGTAAACTTCATTTAATTACAACAATAAAAAAAAATAAAAGATTAACAACACTGCAGTTTTGTAAATCTTATTTAGGCAAAAGCCAAGAGGCTAGAGAATGGAAGAGACTTGTTTTTTTTTTTAACCTCTATGGAGTTAATCTAACGCCTTATGCAACCACTATGGAAAAGAAATGTGCTTCTCATTCTTATCTCCATCTTAAAATGACAGAGAAAATAAAAAAAAAAAAAACAACCCTGCACTATAGAAGCTGGTATCAACTTATAAATGCATGATCCCAGAATATTGTCACAAATACCCATGTGAGTGAAGAATATTCCACCTACAGAGTTATACAGTAAATAATTCCTCCCATAATTTCAGCCACTGCCTTACATAAAATAGAACTTGGCTAAAGTGAGACAACACCGTTTTGAGAAACTATATGATTCCCGATACGGGATCTATATGGAATCTGTATCTTTATCTACTTTGAGAAGCTATATGATTATCTGTGAGATTACACTGTCTCACATATAATCTCAATAAACATAATGAGCTATATGAGGAGTAGCAGGTACTATTAACAAAACTCTTATCATAGCTAGAAACCTAGACATTAAAACCTCCCTGTTTTAAAATCCAAACATTAGCCTAATGAAAAAGAAGCATGAACAGATCCAACAAGTTAGGTGCAATTGTTTTTGAGCACTCCTTCTGGGATACCAGCCATCAGGAAAATCTCTCCTGGAATTAGGTATTCAATAAAATGCCTCTATAGAATTACCTCATCATAAATCATCATATCCCATTCTATTTTTACAGGAGAAAAAAAAAATCCCTGCACCATTAAGATGAGAATGAAAATTTCATTAAAACTTTGCCTTCACCCAATCACAAGTTTATTAAAAATTCTTCTCCTGAGCTGAAGTTTAAATACAAGTGCCTTTTCTGTTGATAACGTTTGAAAAAGTCTACTCATTTCCTTTACGTAGCAAGGTTATGAAAAAAAGAGCGGACGAGCCTTCTTAAAAACACTGATAGATTAAATTTTCATACTAAAATTAAAGCTTTGAATATTTAGAAATGTAACACTATTATAAACAGTATGTACATCCATTTATCCAACACAGCATTTTCCATCTTTGTCTCAACAGCTGTCCTATCAGCCTTGGTTTCTAACAGGAGACAAGTTCAAGGAAACAGCTCGGAATCGGCAACTAACTTAAAACTACAATCAGAGTATGATGCTGAGTTTATTCACTCACTCAACATTCAGGATTTACTGAGCACTTACTATGTGTCAAGGAGCCCTGGTGGTACAGTGGTTAAGTGCTCAGCTGCTAAATGAAAGGTCAGCAGCTCAACCCACCAGGGAGAAATGTCTGCCTGTTTCTGTAAGGATTTACAGTCTTGGAAACCCTATGGGGCAGATCTATTCTGTCCTAGCGGGTCACCAGGAGTCAGAATTGACTCAATGGCAAGGGGTTACTATGTGTCAGGCACTATTCTGGGCACTGGGATTCAAAAATGATCAAGAAAACAGAATAATTACTCCAATACTCTTCTGGACCTAAATTTAAAATGAACTAACTGCAATCTTTCTACCTACAGAATTGTTAAAAGCAAGTATAATGCCTTGGACTTCTCCTCGCCCTGACCCAAGAGAATCGTTACATTGAAATCTAATGTTTTAAGGATGCCTTTTTCAAAAATAAGGGTTCTAAAAAGAAGCCTCATTAAAAATAAGGCACATTTCCAAACTAGATTAATGGAAATTGAACAACCAGAATAGAAATAATGAGAACGTTCATGCACTGTGAAGAATGTAACCAATGTCCCTGCACAATTTGTATAGAAACGGTTGAATGGGAAACTAAACTGCTATGTAAACCTTCACCAAAAACACAATAAATTATTAAAAATCATAAGGCACATTTCCGCTATTAAAATATATGTCATATTCATATAATCATAGGACTCAAAAGGAGTCCAAAAGATCACTGAAGCATCTGCTATCTCCAGCTAGGATGGTGTCAAGATTGCCCTAAACGTAGAAGCTCTAACAAAAACACAGCCTGGAGTCCCTAGGTGGTGCAAACAGTTAGGCACTCAACTATTAGCTGAAAAGTTGACTGTTCAAATCCACCCAGAGTTACCTGGAAGACAGGCCTGGTGATCTGCTTCCAAAAGATCACAGCCTTGAAAACCCTATGGAGCAGTTCTGCTCTGACACACACGGGGTCGCCATGAGTTGGAATCCCCGCAATGCGATGGCAACAACAAAAAACAGCAAGTAAATATTACAGCAAAGACATATTTGCTTAAAAGGGGGAAAAAAAAACCCTAACTGACTTTCCTAATCTCACTGGGACTCTGAGCAGAGCTGTCCTGTCCACCATTCATGAGCTAAGCATTAGTTTTCTCAGGGAAAAAAAAAAGTTACACTCAGGAATTACATATATTTTAAAGAAGTTATTTAGTTCTATTTGCTAAAAAAGAGCCATCAATCCCACATTCCTATGATACTGCACCTTGAACAGCTTTATCAGAGGGCAGCGGTGGCTCAGTGGTAGAATTCTCCCCTTCCAAGTGGCAGACCGAGCTTCAAATTCCAACCAATATGCCTCATGGGCAGCCACCGCCTGTCAGTGGGGGCTTGCATGTTGCTATGATGCTGAACAGGTTTCAGCAAAGCTTTTAGATTAAGACAGACTAGAAAGAAAGATTTGGCAATCTACTTCTGGAAATCAGTCACTAAAAATCCTACAGATCACAATGGTCCGATCCCATTGTGGATGGGGTCCCCATGAGTCGGAACGGACTCTACAGCACCTAACAACGACAACAACTGCTTCGTTCATCTGTGGGTTCTTAACACAAGAGCAAAGAATATGAGCGTCCTGGGAAGCTCACGAGTACCTCGCTTCGATGATCTGATCCACTCCGTGCAGTTTGGTCTCAAGGGATTTTAATCTGATCGGTGAAATTCCGGGACACTAAGAATCTACGTTTCCTAGAATGGAGGGTCAGTATCGATCCATGGGTGCGGCTCACTCTCTTTTGCGAGGCTGGCTAGAAGGTTTCCAGATCTAAAGCTCAACTATGGCACTGGCAGAAATGAAAGAGGACAGAGGTCTCCACCCACCTAGCCCAAGTTCTGACGGCTTTTGGGAAAAAGGCTGCCTCTGGCCTCCAGCCCATCTCAGTACAGTCCTCTTCTCCAATACGAGTGTGGAGCCCAAAGCCAAGGTAACAAGGATGGAGGGTTCCTTTGCCTCTCTTTGCCATGGTTCCTTGTATACCTACTACTCAGGTACTTGAGAGACCTGGGTGTGGTCCACAGCTTTGCTAACCTCAGAGTGTCTTTTTGCAGCTCAAAAAAAAAAAAAGTACCCCCTCTGGGTCAGCTCCCACCGGCCCCCTTGGCTGGGTACCCTGGTGTGGGGCCACAGTGAGCTACACTATAAGGTGGGCCTGCTGTGGTAAGCCAGGGCCTTCTTGGATAGCTTGGTGAAATACCATCAAACAGAACCCCAATCCCAACACCACTTCTGTTTCTGACGGTGATTTTCAAACTGCTCTCTGAGGTGACACTGGGGCTCCAGGGCAGTGCTTCAGAGGCTGCTGAAAAGGGAAATGAAGGAGACGGGGTGGGTAGTCTCCATTCCCACCCCTCAAAGCAACTCTGCTTCCATGTGTTTTTACATACTGGGATTCAGCTAAGGTTTCTCTGGAAGAAAGGACAGTTCTGCTTTCTGAAGACTGAAAACCACTATTATTAGCTTATCTTAAACAAACAAAAAAACCAGTTGCCATCCAATCAACTCTAACTCATGGAGACCCCCTGTGTGTCACAGTAGAACTGTGCTCCATAGTTTTCAGTTGCTGATTTTTTTAAAGTAAATCGCCAGGCCTTTCTTCCAAGGCACCTTTGGGTAGATTTGAACTTCCAACCTTCCAGTTAACAGCCGAGTGCTTAACAGTTTGCCACACCCAGGGACTGAGTTTATCTTACATATGTACAAATGATTTACTTGAGACCACAACTGACTTGACTGCTGGATGCTAGAGTCCAGCAAGGGGACATTTCCAATGTGGGGGGAGGGAAGCAGTCATTGCAATTGACATCTTGGCTTCTCTTTGCCTAACAAGTAACTCCCAAATGTATGCACACTGACCTTCTAAGGTTCCTATACTGCATACTTACGTTGCTAACTACCAATACTTCAGGAACATAATCTTCTGAATGAGTGAGGTTGACATTTCTAATCACAATCTTGTCTATTTTCATGAGCAACCTGTACCAACGTTTAAGACACTTACCTGACAGAAAGTCATGGAAACAATTGAGAACAGTAGTCCCTGGTTGTATCCAACTAAGGGGAATCTCTTCTGGCTTAGGCGAGCCTAAGACCACAATGTCAGCCTCATGAAGCTAAACAGAAATAGAAAAAAAAAGCACATTTTAATCTGTAGCATAAAGACATGGCTAAATATTGCTGTCAAGTGCTGCAATGTAAAAGATTACAATCACAGTTCCAGAGTTTTGCTCCATAGTGTGGACGTGGGCAAAATGCTTTCACTAATTCGTTTTAAGAATGTATATTGGTATGAAGGCAGTCATGGTTCAGTGGTAGAATTTTTGCTACCTTCCACATGGGAAACCCGGCTTTGATTCCTGGCCAATGTACCTCATGCACAGCCACCCCCCATTAGTGGAGGCTTGAGTGTTGCTATGATGCTGAACAGGCTTCAGCGGTGCTTCCAGAGTAAGATGGACTAGGAAGGAAGGCCTCATGGTATACTTCTGATAATCATCCAATGAAAACCCTGTGGATCCAAATGGTCTGATCCACAGCCAATCATGGGGGTGGTGCAGGACAGGGCAACGCTTCATTCTGTTGTGCATGGGGTTGCCACGAGTCAGGGGCTGACTTGATAGGAGCTAACAACAACAACATATCTATTAGTATGAACAGAACACAATTATCAAATTCTAGAAGGGATTTTATATTTTTCTTTAGAATAATCATTTCAGTACACACATCATGTGGCATATTATCCTTTACATATAGTTACCACAAACTGCAGTATCAAGAAAAAGGCTAGGGATGGGGAAAACTATACTGATGGAAGGAGGCTAGAAAAGTGGGGTGCAGCAGCATCCTGATTCAGGAAGTAGCTGTGGGGGAAAATACAGATTTTTGTGGGGAAGCCACCTTAAGGTCTGCATAGTACAGGGGCCTGCGGCCAGTACAACTGCACAATCAAAATTAGACCCACATGGAGCTTTTACTCTGTCTTGGAAGGGCTTCCAGAAGCCTGGGAAGGAATCTCACTTCCGTTATAGCCTGGTTAGTCTCTTGTCGAAGTGCTCATTTTTCTGAGAAAGAGAAAAGAAAGAACGCAACCACTAGTATAGAACACATCTGTCATGTCCATCCTGTTCAGATTTTGGTTAACACAGTGCTGGAAGAAAACATCAGGTAGGACAGTTTCTTCTAGACCTAGGTTAAGAGGTCGGCTCTGACCTCAACCAAAGAATGACCTCCCATCGGGTACCAATAAGCACCCAATGATTTCAGACTGGATTCATATGTGGAGGGTGAGAGGCAAAAAAGGAATCTTAGACTCGTGGGGGAAAACAGCCACGATTGTGCATGTCGGCTAGATGCTGTGAATATTATCTTATTTACTATCCTGACTGTGTGAGGTTGATGTTACTATGTGCATTTAATTTAGACAAGGAAACTGAGGTGCATAGAGTTTAAGTAGCTTGCCTATAGTATGCCCCTAGAGTACCTGATCTTGGAAACACTCTATGAGGTTGGAAGAGATTGAAGGTGCCCTGCCCTCTACTCTCCCACACTGATAGCCCTTCCCCCACTGCTTTATCTAAGGATCTAATGCCCTGCAAGTGACTACAGACTCTTTAGGATCAAACAACGTCCTGAGGTGGTGCAAATGTTTTATGCTCGACTGCTAACTTAAAGGTTGGGGATTCAAACCCACCCAGCGGTACTGTGGAAGAAAAGAAAAAACACAGATACAGTCATACATCACTTAACATCCATGATACTTTCTGTGAAATAGGATATTATGTAATTTGGAAGTTGTGTGAACACCATATTATGCATGAAGGTCCTTTCAGACATTTACTTCCAGAATAAGGAGGTTTCGCTCATATTAAAAATTTGCTTGGGCAAATAACCTCCCTCTACAATTAGTTTATCTAGGGTTTCAACAAATTCTTCTGCTGCCTTCGCATAACCACTTGCAGACTCACCACTCGCTTTCACATTATGCAGTGAAAAATGTTGTTTGAAGCCCCGAGCCATCCAGAGGTAGCACCAAACTCGGTATCAATATTGTAGTCTGGTCCTGCTTTTTCTTTAAGCATCTGGAACAAGCTTTGTGCCTTAACAGTGATCGTCAAAGTGCTGAGAGGGATTCCCTTTTGTGTTTGGTCCTCAGCCCACGTCATTAGCAATTTCTCCATATCTGATATAGGTCCCTCGCGATTTTTTATTTTCGTTAGCCTTGTAGCTTTCAGTGGAGCTGATCCTTTAACAGCTTGGAGAATTTTTTCTTTGTTTTTGAGGATCGTCATGATTATCAAGTGTGACATGCCTAAATCCCCTACGTTCCATTCTCCAATTGGGATTTCTGAACTCTAGTATAACCTTAAGGGACCACAGGCGTATATGTGGGGACCATGCCCAAACAGACATTATGCAGCGCATGACTGTCAACAATTATGCTGTACATGTCCCCACCCATTCTCAGCTTGGACAGGCTGATTACTGAGGACCTTGGGGAAGAACCAGGCCAGGTCTTTAACCTGAGAGTTTTAAACCCTGTGTGGACAAGGGAATGCACCAGCTGATGTCTTTCAGGACTCTTGGGACAAGAGATGGTAATGAGGGGAAGGAAGCCAGTCCATGGCAGTCCTACTTGGTTGATAAACAAGAAAGTCAAGATCTAGAGCAGTTCGAAGTTCCGCTGATGGAGGAAGAGTACACTAACAATTAAAATGCTTGTCTTTTCATACCGCTGACAAGGCCAGCTTTTAAAAGTTAACACCCCACCCTGAGAGTATGGCCCCCAGGCACCCTTTTAAGTCACTACTGAAGTCACTCCTGAGGTTCACCCTTCAGCCAAAGATTAGACAGGCCCATTACACAAAACGGGCACACCAGGCCAGGGGCAAGGACGAGAAGGCAGGGGGAGACAGGAAAGCTGGTAATGGGGAACCAAGGTCAAGAAGGGGAGAGTATTGAGATATCGTGGGGTTGGCAGTATGTGTATTAATTGTTTAATGAGAAACTAATTTGCTCTGTAAACATCCATCTAAAGTACAATTATAAAAAAACAAACAATACCAGAGAGATATTTGATCTATTGAATCATGCAAATGGAGAAAAGGGTATTAACATTCATTGAGGATCCACTAATAAACCAAAAATATTAATTGCTTTTTGCTATTTTACTGTATTAAGGCAGGAAGTGAAAGAGTACATCTAAATGGTGTTGTAGCAAATCTGCTTCAATAAACACATTAGAAAGAAAAAACAAATTCCTACCAAAACATTTGTCTAAATGTTTTCTTTTGCTAACCTCAGAGGTATAACACTGTTAAACTAAATTAAGACATTTATAGACAAGATTATCAGCCACCTTGTCTGTTAAGCTGCACGTGCTATCTACTGATAGATCAGAAAAGCAGCTAGAATTTTGGCTGGGGTCATATTTAGGGGGAAAAATATTCTCATGAGAAGAGAATTTTTAACACCTGTATATAAAAAGTATTCCTTCATTTACATATTTCACTGTCAGAAATTTAATCACCCATTAAAAAACCCGTTGCTGTGGAGTCGATTCTGACTCATAGCGACCCTATAAGACAGGGTAGAACTGCCCCATAGGGTTTCCAAGGCTGTAATCTTCACAGAAGCAGACTGTCATATATTTCTCCCGCTGAGCAGCCTGGTAGGTTCCAATGACTGATCTTTCAGTTTGCAGCTGAGCACTTAATCACTGAGCCACCAGGGCTCCTAATTCAACCACAGTCACCATCCAAAGAAATAAACATTTAAGGCTTGGTGCAAAAGATCTACAGACAGGAACCATCATTTTGCTACATTTTCATGCACAATAGCAAAAACAGAACATGTTAGATACGTATTAAAAAAAGGTTGTTAATATAAGCAAGACTGTAATGTTCATTTTGGAAACAGCCAAGGAGCACAGGTTCACACAAGTCCCCATAAGAACACGTAGTTTACTATGCGTGGTGTCTTTGATACAACCTGTTCTTTTCATTACCTATAAACCTCAGAAATCTCATTTCTACCCCTCAACTCCACAGCCACACACAAGTCCTAAGTGAGTGGTGCTAATAAACAACCAGGGACGGTCAATCCCACGGAGGACAGACAAACAGCCCCTCCCTTCGCAATGATCACAACTTAGATACTAATTTTTTCTGGAAAGGAAAAGTGCTACACGCTTAAATCAATAAATAACCCACAAAGGACGAGGGGAAATTTTAATGAGCTAAAATTCAAGCATTATCGTCTTACTGGCTGTTCCCACTTTCCTCCTCCCAAATGAGAAAGGCCTTGGCCAAAATCTGACTTGAAACTTTACCTCATAACAAAATATTGCTTTGTCTGCTGAGACTTGAGTGGAAGCAGCTTGAAGAGAACCGCCCATTCCCCAGGCAGGGGACCAAATGTTAAAACAATAGCAAGACACAGATATGCAGACATTTAAAGGGGATCATGTGGGAGTTACCGTATAGTTTAGATAACATGAAAACTATTTTCTCTAAGTCAGTGATTTTTAAGAGGGAGGTGGAGGCAAGCATGGGAATATGCAGAGAGAGAGGAGGGCGGATGTGATTTGGAAAGTTATAGTGAATATCATAATTTTATATTTAGGAAACAAAATGCAGTTTTAAAAATTTAAACTATAAGAAGTGCATCCCCATCGTCTTGTCTAGAAGACAGAATTGATCTGCTGTCAGCGTGTTCCAAAGGGCACATAAGAAAGAGGGAATGGGTACATATCCAAGAGGGAATAGGTAAAAAAAAAAAAAAAAAAAGGTTGAGAGGTATTTCTCAGGAAAGATGTGATTCTAAAATTACAATAAGAAAACGAATAAAAGTGATCCAGAATTCTTTCGTGAATATACTCATCCATCTGACATCTTTGAGTGCCACTTGGGGCAGACACCAAGGTAGCTGAGGATCTGAAAGTAAAAATCCAGTCTCTGCTAACATGAGTTTTGGCTAAGATCTGCAAGATGGAGGGGCACAGGACAAGACACTGGGATATGGAAAGAAAATATTAAATATTCGATTCCTACTTTTCTAACATAAACTAGAAATTAAGCCTTCCTAGTATTTAACATGCAGTCCCTGGGTAGCACAA